CATGCATCTTCCTTTGGAAGTTTGAACGGTGAGGCTGAGACCTGCGTATTCGCAGTACTAATAAGAATAGTTTCTTGTGGAGGGTGACTAGAGGAGACAATTGACTTGTCTTCCTTAAGCCAATTTTCTTTGGTGATTACCTTTAGTTGATGTTCAGACTCATAGTGTTTTTCTACAAAATCGAAGAAAAATATTTCAAGTCTGTTGGTTTGCATGAAATCTTTCCATGCCTTATGGATTTGTAATTTTTCTTCAGTAGTATATTTACTTCTGAAGATATTTCGTCTAGGGACATTTTCTAGGGCTTCTATGTCTCTACAGAGTTTTTTACGATCATATTTAAAAGGTTCTTGTCTAGTTAAAACCAATAATTGGTGGTGCACTGGTTCTGCATCAAAATCAGAAGCAGTTGGGGATGTTTGTTCTTCCTTAGGAGGAATGGATGGGGTATGATAGGTAGGCTGGACTACTTGAGCGTTTGTCTCAAGTGATTGGAGTTTGAAATTTAAAAGGTCATTTATTAATTCTTGTTGAGTGACTGATGAGCCTGTATCTATTGATTTTAATTTCCTATTAGCTAGGGAATTTATCAATTCTTGGTCTCGACCTTGCCTATCGGATGGCATAGATCCAGAAAAAGAATTCCTATTGGAAGTAAAGGATTTAAGTGATCGATTAGAATCACAGGATTGCCTTGTAGGACGATCAAAATTAATTTTAACCGTACCGCCAAAGTATTGTTCTACATTGTCTAAGTTAACTAGACTATTTTGGATGGCTACTGGCCGACTTTCGTTTATCAGACACCAATCTGAAGGGAGATTGATTTCTGACCACCTAATGGTTCGAGGTATTTTAATATTGGCATTCTCTTGATCAGTCTGGATCAGGAGAGTATGATCTTTCGGGCTTTTGGTTAAAGCCTGAAAATTCATATTTGTGCCAGTGACTTTATAATAAATCCTGTAAATTAAGGCCAAAGGCTGTGTTCCTTCAAGGACTTTGTATCCTGAAGTTTTGATATTTAATGTAAGTGCTTTTAACATATGTGGGTCGGATAGACTTATGGTAAGATCTGGAAAGCAGTCAAAGTGGATAGGTCCATTACAGAGGCTGGATTCAACCATACCAAGTATACTATCACTGAAGTCAGTGAATCTAGCATCTCGGAGACATAAGAGGATAGAGGTATTAAGACCTCTACGTGTTAATGGTTTAGCAGCAATTTGCACTAAACCTATATGGATATAATTATGACCATCTTTCCTATGGGAATTGATTTGTTCTGGGGTAAACAATTGGCAAGTTTCATGATCTTTACTAAGAGCATAAGCTTGTTCAACCGTTTTAACATGATGTTCAGTTTTAAAAGAGGCGAATGCCCATTTCTTTCTATAAATATTTTTTGAAGAAATTTTTGGAATATTCCATTCAGCAAAATCTAAACTACTGTCTGTTTGAAATTCAAATTTTTGTTCTTCATTGACTATATCAGGTATAGTTCCTAAATTTGATCTAGAGCTAGTGCTGGCCATAGAATTAGATCTAAACAATCTACTCATACTTAAAAATTCAAGCAATCAAAATACAGAAACCTTAACAGAAAATCTTACTAGTGCTTCTAAACACCAAGCTCTCTGGGTCATGCGCGCCGCTCAGGCCCTATCCTCCGGGACTTACTGTTTGGGTGACGCCTTACTGCTCAGACCTTATGGAGATCAGGAGACACTAAAAGGTTAAACTGAAAAGATTAACTATAAAGAGACTGAATAAATCTAAAAGTATAAACAGAGTATTCAGATACTAATGGTATAACCAAGTGTGGTTGGTTATATATATATATATATTAGGGGTGTGCTATCCACACACCTCATTTTACTTTTTACACACCTCTTGTTAATTTCTATCCATTGCTTTTCTTCAATTCATCCGATCCGACGACCGAAAATTAGAAGGATGTGTGAAAAGTAAAATGAGGTGTGAATATCACACCCCTTTTTTTAACATTTTTTTCACACTTTTTACATCAATTAATATGAATTTTTATTGATTTTGCACTCAAACAATAACACTATTCATGAGGGTTTGGAGTGTTTTAAAAATCTAAACGACGATGTAACCATTGTCTAAGCATAGAGGATGCAACTGCGAGCGTTTGTATATTTTTTTTCACATTTTTTCACACTTTTACATTAATTATTATGAATTTTTATTTAGTTTGAACTCCCCTTAAAACACTATTCACGAGGGTTTGTAAGCTTTCAAAAATCCAAACAATGATGGACCATCGTCAAAGCATACGATCACGAGCATTTACATATTTTTCACATTTTTCACACTTGTAAATCAATTATTATGAATTTATAATGTGTTTTTATATTTTTAAATTACTTTGGTATGTTTAATGTGCTTTGGAATTTCTTAACCTTTCTTACGTAAGATTAAATACTAAGGCTATAGTAGTAAGGTTTTTTAGTAGTTTAAAATTATCAAACTAACATTTTTCTTATCGGTTGTAACGGGTCACCTGCAGGTCAATACTATGTGAGATTAACGGGTTTCTAACGTGTGACGACCCGATTAGTTAATATATTGACCCGAAACTCGTTATTTTGTGTCATTTTAGATCAAATTAATAGGCCATGTAAGAATTGTTAGGTCTAGACTCTAGTTTGGACCCTTCTTTTCTTTAATACATAATATGTCTTCTAGACTACTCATACATCACACAAAACACTTATTTCAATGAACTTTATCGGAGTTGTTTTATTTTGCAGGTTACAAAATGTCTCTCATGACTTTTCTTTGGGGTTGAAGTTGAACTATCAATGCCTAGAATTAGTTTTGGGGATGTACCATCATTTTTGTCTTTTATCTCTGTTTGGGCCCAAAAATATTGGTTTGGGCCGAGTTTAGAATTGTTCTCGGCCTAGAGGCCGAGTTTAGGTGTCGTTAGGGGTTATCCAGCTCAAGGGCCGCGCAGTCGAAGCTGGCCGTGTCCCATCGGGAACCTGTGGGATGTGGGTGAGTCCTATTACAAGAAGGAGTTTCGACAGGATAAGGATGTTGGAGTTTGAGATTGAATGCGGCTTGATAACAAGTTAAGTTCAAAGTCCTAGTAGAAGTAGGACTGGCCGAGATAAGTTGGATAAGGGAAAGGAGTCCTAATCCGAGAATGATTGGGATTCAATGCAGGTTACTAAATGGGGAGGGAGGACATTAAACAAAGCCCCTCCAATTCAACACACAAACTTTCATGCGCAAACTCTCGCTCTACGCGAAACCTCTCAACAACCTTGAGATTTTTACTTTTTTTTCCGCCGACATACCTTCAATTTGGATAAACAGCACTGTGGAGGCAACCGGCGATCATCTTCAATTTGGATAAATAGTATTGTTTCAGTAGAATCAGCCGACCGTGAAGCACCTTCAATTTGGATAAACAGCACTGCAACAGGGTCGACTGGTTATCTATCCAAGTCTCGGTCGAGAAGGATTTTTTGATATTAGCAGAAGTCATCTCATCAGCCTTCTCGGCGAAGTGAGGTGTTACTAGGGCTCAGCACATCGAACGCCGAGTTGTTTATGATTAGGTATTCATAAGTAGGTTTTAGAGTTCGGCATTTTGACGGCCGAACCACTTTCACAATCAAGACGTACATTTGTTTTGAGTATTTGTGTCCCTATACTCTAGTGTTGATTCGACGTGCTTATACTCTCACGAACATAATCACCATGACCGAATTTGGCGCCGTCGATTTGTGAACTTCGCAGAACTAGCAGCTTTGTCTTCAGGCTCTAGAACCCGAATGCCGAAAGTGTTCCTTCCTTGGCCGCAGTCACAAAATCGAGAAGTCAGCCGTGCGCTCACCGCAACATCAACACATTTTACTCCTCGGTCGAGCTCGGCCGACGAGTTGGCACGCCCCGCAAGCAACCAAATGACGTAGTTAGCTTATTAATTACTCGGTCTGCGCACCACATAGGCTTGATAGTTTTTAGGGTCAACAATCTCTCAACTGACTTGTAAATTTTTCCACAACAACTTTCTCTACCGTCTTTATGGCGCTGGATGTAGAAGAATGAAGCTCTTTTCATAAATTTCAAGGGTTGAGCAAAATCTCCTCCAATTAATAAATAAAAAGAAACAAGACCTATAGAATATTATTCCTAACGAGATATATAATTATATATGCAAGTGGTAGATTACCTTGATGGGTAGGACCTCTCTTTGATCAACAAAGAGTAGGCTCTCTTTTCTCTGATACATAATTTATCTTCTAGATTACTACTCATACATCACATCTGGATTTCAGATAACCTTATCGAAGTTGTATTTCTCAGGTTAGTAAGCACCTCTCGAATTACCATCCGCTATGTAAAGGAATCTGGATGTATTCCAGAGAAGCTTATCGAAGTTTGTCTCATTTGTTATGATTTAGATCAAGGTATGTTCTTCAATGAAATATTAGAAACAGAGTTATTGTTTGGGTTTCTTAGCCCACTTAAGTAGAACAAGTGTTGATATCTGCATGGTTGATTGCAACCACATGACTTTTCTTTGGGGATCAAGTTTTAACCATCACTGCCCGGAATTTATTTTGGGGATAAACCATCACTTTTGTCTTATTTCTGTTTGGCTGACTGATAAATTTTTCCATAACAACTTTGTCAAACGTCTTTGTGGGTTTGGATGTAGAAAAAGGAAGCTCTTCATAAGATTCCAAGACTGACCTAAAACTTCTCCTCCAATTATATGTTTCATTGGAAAAAAAAACCAAGAGCTATAGAATATTACCAGCAATAGTGCCTGCGCGTTGCAGCGGGTCTTAAAACTACTGAATATAAAAGAAGAAAACAGGCAGTCGACTATTACAAATATATAAATTAACAAAATGCAAATCTAAACTAACCAATTCAATTAGATAATACTGCAAATTTCATAGGTATTTGTTAAGGTGTAAGCTAAAGGCATTAAATTTATGCAAACACGTTAAGTATGTGCGTAGTCTATCATAAATCAAATGTAAACAAAATATGAAAAAATAAATAGGTAAATATGCTTTAAAATCAGTTCACAAAAAAGGGAATTAACATGCCATCACAACTTTTCAAACCGCTATTTTATTTCTTAAGTCTCACCTTCAAGTGTTCTAAAATCGTGGAAGGTGTTGCATATGTCCTTTACTTTACAAAAATGAAACGTGCAAAACAAACAGCCAAATGAAACCTGTAATCATAAATTTTAGAAGCATCAGAACAATAATAACTTGTTTCATACACCTTAATTCCCTAAGGAAATAAACTTTGAAAGAAATGTAGCAACTCGAAAACAGCAACTAATATTTCTAATGAAAAACCTCTTTGCTTACCAGCATAGAATATATATTAAGGTATACATTACAACATTTGGTTATCGGCAGTAGAAACACAAAACACTCTTCAGTAAAAAGCATTTAAGCATCAAAAAAAGTCATTCTAATCCATGTAATGTGAGACAAACTTTTTAATGCATATTTCCAATATGTATAAATTGTTTTATTTTATATGATCAAATTTTGATCTAATTTAATCAAAAAATTCTAATCTAATTTGATATAATAATAATATATATGTCCCCAAGGATTGATCATATTACCAATTATCAAATCACATTCTCTGTATCTTTCTCTAACATTTTTCTACTCAGTTTCCCACTCATTTCAAACTTATTAAAAAGGCCAATTCAGTCTACTTATCTATATGCTGCAGGGTTTTCCTGTGCGAGCTTAAAGCAGCTAGCTTACTACCAAAGGACACTATAAAATTAATTCTTAATGCTTACCAGATTGAATTATGATTTATGATTGGGCAAAAATTTGATTGAACTACATTACTAAAATATCAGTCCCTATAATTTGGAATTGAAATCCTAAATTAGCATCATTGGGATAAGTTGACCAGCATCCATATAAGATAACAATCCATTCATTTTTAAGACCCGGGTCTGATTCAATTATAATAGCCCTGCATCTCAAACGATTCGTGCATGGCTCACCACATCTACCCAAAGTGTTGACACATTTATATACGTGTAATGTAATTCCATGTATAAAACAAAAGTAAAAAAATAACAGCAGACAGAGAATATAATGTCCAAATCTGTCAACACTCTGCATACCTGCCAGAGCCTCCAGCAACAGAGGATACAACAAACGGAGTGCTTCCAATTTGCTTCTTTTCTTATCTCCCGTGTCACTGCTATCACTAATTTTTTTATTCTTAGCCAATTCTTCGAATTGATGTAGCAGGAAATATTAAACACCAGCTGAAAAAAATTATAATAAAACAAAGATCGATCTCATGCACTAAAAAAAAACAACAAACAAATATCAGAGCAGCATTAACATACTAATAACGACATACAAGGGGCACCAGCAGAAGTGGAAGATACTAAAAAAACAACAAACAAAAAAAAGGTCGTACCCAGTGCACAAGGCTCCCGCTAAATAGGAAAAAAAAAAAAAGTAAGCAAGTCAATCTTAATTTCCAAAAAAATATATAAAATAAATAAATAAATAAAAAGAGAGGAGAGAAGAAAGACAAACATCCACAGTCGGCCACAGAAGGAGAGGAGGCGTTGGAAGCGGCGGGGATGGAGGCGGCTCTTGTGATGTTCAAAACGACACCAAACGGAGCACTGCTCTTGAAGACCACAACTAACCCAAAACAAAATTATTTTCATCCAAACTAACAAAATTACAGAATAAAAACTGAAAGACAGTAGTTAAGAATCACACCTCAGTTGTATAAAATTTATTTCCCAACGATCTAAAGACAGCAGGCGCTCAACGATCTAAACACAGCCGGCGCTCAAAAGGAGAAGAACAAACAATCGCAGAAGAACACAGCTAGAATAAGGCAGGAATCAGAGAAGGACCAGAAGAAACAAAGGGTTAAACGCAGAAGAAGACTCTTGAACTCGATGCCGAGATATCAACGATGATGGACGCATGGAAAGAATGGGCAAAACCATCTTTCCACTGTACGAAGCAGGCGACAAAGCGAGCGAGGAGAAACCAAGGGGCAAAAACATCCGCCCACTAGTCATCCACAGTGCCCACAAAACTGAGTTTTAGTATATACTGAGATAATAAGCCCGCGCGTTGCGGCGGGAACCAACTGTCATGAATGAACAGAGGGACACGTGAGTGAATGAGGTCAATAAGATAAGCAACTTGGCTTTTATATACATTCAACCGAGCATGGCTTATTCAAGGGTTAAAAGGGCAGTTAAACTGATTGAAATAAAAACAGTCACAACACATGACATGATTAGATGGACCACTGCATTATCTGTAAGTTAAGTTGTGGCCCCATAAAACAGAAGCACTTTCCAATGCATAACAAAATAGATTTTGATTCAAGTATACCTTGTATGATAGTGAATAAGTTCCTGCTGATTTTCTCCATCCATCTAGCCTGTGAAAATCAGAAGTACAAACTTGAACTCTAGAGCTTCTTTCACCAAAATCACTTCTCATTCCTAAAATTAGGCAAATTCCCAACAATAACAACAAAAAACCTCTTAGATTTCACTTTTGCTTAATCATAGGCATCCACTCATCCGTAACAAATGGAGAAATAAGCAAAAATCACCTTGAGATAACACAGAGTCCACTGTTGCTGCCTCGGCAGCATCTTGAACAAGAAGAATACCAATTAAGTGAGGATCTCAAGTAAATTCGCACCAACACAAAACCCAACCAGCAACAATTTGTTCATGATATCTTACAACACCAAATTTCGTCCTGAAAACAGGACATTTAATGCAGAAAGCTCAAAACTTTGCCTCCCAAAACTAACATCTGAGAGAGCATTGCACTTCTTATCTTTAAAAGCATGAATGGTGAACTAAATAAAATAATAAGAATCTGCAATGAACTAAATAAAAACACATTTTTTACAAACATTATTTGCACAAAAATAAAAATTGTATTGAGAAACTCACCATCCCACTTCTCACGAATGATGTATGATGATCAACCTATCACAAAAAAATGAAATCCAATTCAAATAATAATAAAAAAGAGAGCTTGAATATAGCAACCCTACTCCCCCTCTTATGGTCTAATATGTAAGGACGTCGTAATCCAATCATGTTAAATTCACCCTTTTAAACGCCACAATTTATCTAATAAAAAGAGAAATTGAAAGGAAAAAAAAAAGCCTAGAACACAAAGTAGTGATCGAAAGCTCCCTCTACTGTCATTATTTGACCAAACTCTGTGAATTAATCGGAAACAAAAGAAAACTAAGAACTTGATTAATTGAGTGATTAAGAAAACATGGACTTGTATATGAAAGCTGAATTCATTAACAGATGCTTCACATACATCACGCATTCAAATATTAGATAATATTTCCAAGCCATAACATCCACTGTTTATTTCCAAAAAATAGATACACTATATGGATAACAGCACCTGGTAATGAATTGATACTCAAAAAATCCCACAAAACCATTCACAAATACATATTTCACTATAAAGCATGAAAAGAGAAGATTAAGGCTCAAAAATACCTTTTGGGTGAAGTACAGCGAATTTGAATGATGGCACTAGGTAAAAGGACCTTGTTTCAGAAAGGAACGATGCCGAGGCTAGTGAGAAGCTCCACTGATTCCGCCATATTTGCAATTTGTAGTGAGAGGAAAGAAGAAGAAACAAAAAGGAGCATCAGAGGAGGAGGTAGAGAACAGAGACATTACCATATAAGTGCCTAACCCAAAAACAAAAAAACTTAACACAAAATTATGGATGTTGTAGTAGAGCATTTTAAATGAAACGAATAAATATTGGGAAGTACTGATTGTCAAACTAACCTGACGAACTTCTCTTGCTGAAAATTCATGACTACAACTTATTTTCTAGAATCTCCAAACGGAAAGTTAACCTCCGAACATTTGAATAACCCGAAGAACTTCCTCATGCACCACCAAGTTCCCAAAAGCAGTCCCTTGACAACGATTCAAAGTGAAATAAAGTGAATGCAACATAGAAACTTCTATAATTAATTGTAACACCTAAAAACAGTTTCATCCACCATTAAAGATATTGAGTACATCAAGAATCGCCACTATATTTGAAATGAATTTGGTGGATTAGAAAAACAATAATCTCACGCAACTAAGATCATCTAATACTTTCAACACTACTTGCAACTCAACTTCAATACCTATTATTGATTAAGAATTAATTCCTAACCCATTACTCAAAAACCTAAATTTCAAAAATTAAGAAAAAAAAAGAGCAAAGTTCTTGGTAAAACGCAATTATTGTTTCTAAATATACATTCTCAGAATTTCAACACTGCTCTGATGATCTATAAAGAAGTTAGCTTTGGAGAGTTTGGAATCGAAGTAAGGCATCAATTTTGGCTGCGGTGAACTCGTCCCGGAACTTGAGAAACCCAAATAAAAAATATGATGAATAAGTAGAGCAGCAAATGATTACACATGTATAATAATATGTATAGAGATAAACACATAAACAAAAATTAATGTTTCAATTTGTATCTTATCCAAAGCTTAAACCTCCAACTAATCATTCTCTCCCAGAGGTCATAAAAAATGTCATTCTTCTGAGAATCGACGTTTAAGGAGAGGATTTGTTCGTCCCCGGAAAACCACAAATCCAATCAAATAAGCTGCCAAAAGAACATTAATAAATGAAAAATAAAAAGCAAAGAAATAATGAGAAACCAAAATATGCATCTCAAAATCTAATCACTTTTTAGCCTGCTGACCATTTTTAGTTCTTGAATTTAGACAGTTAAACCATGACTCAGCACATGAATGAAGCGAGAGCGTAAAAGATAAGTGGGATATGCTAAAAGTCATCCTCGAATCATGCATTAACTTTCAAACTATTCCAAAATAGCTTACATCTTTAAAAAATGAATAACTTAAGTTAAGTTAGCCATAGGAAGCCTGCAGAACAAAGTTAAACATGAAGAATGAATAAAATGACAGACAGATTTAAACAGCATACCAAAAAAGGAGTGCAAAGCTGAATTCTTCTCGACTTACCTCTTTACTGAGTTATTGGACCTATTTAGAGAGTTACTGGACTGAAATGAAGCCAACTCTGCAACAGAGAAACAAATGGAAAGGTCAAAATCCAAAAATCCAAGTTTAACTCAATCAAATATATTAACCAATGAAAGTTGCAAGCTGCAAATACTCAGCAACGTAGACAAATAAATTTGTTTTTCAAAGACTTAATTGGTCCTCTATTTTATTAATTATCGTTTGGGAAAGGAAATTTGAGACAACACCTTATCAAAGAGAACCATATATGCATTTAAGTCATGGTACAATGGGCGGCATTCGCTGCTGCAGTGATCTAATGCTTTTTCAATGTTCAGAGCGACTGTTAGTCGTATAGCCCAATCAATGGTCTGATTCTCCCCTGTCAAGGAAGTGTGAGGTGAATTTATACCTGAAGCGCTTTGAAAAGCTATAGGCAATAAATTTCAGAGGTCACTTGTTAAGAATATGAGAATGGGAAAAGCAAAATAGCAGTCACAATTTGAAATGAAAATAGCACATGTGTAGATAATAAATCAGCTTTGTGAAAGTGGTTTGAGATCAGAATATTATGCTCAAGCAGATCAAATGCATTCTTCAAAGCGAAGAATGACAAAAAAAATCAATATCTTATGTAAAAGAAGAGAAAATTATATGGAAAACTAATGAAAAGGACTTAAAAACTTTGAGTTTTAACGATAAGGACAAAATAAAGGGTAAAGTAAATAGTACCAGGATTGACTTTTTAGTGTAAAAATGTGGTTTTTCGTTAAAGTGAACAGTACCACGGGCTTTTCGTTAAAACTCCCAAAATTATATCTTTGCAGGACTGTGGCCTCATCCAAAAGTAAAGCCAAAACAATATCTTAAAAGTAGTATTCAAAAGTAAGAATGAAACTGAAGTAGGAAAAATAAAATGGTCAAACAGAAAACAGGCAACTTTGAAATATCCAACTTTATATGTCGGGTTTATCTTTTGACAACACCATAGCATCTTTAATCGGTATGGCCTGTGCAAAATGAAATTGTCAATCCTGATTCACAAAGAAGAAAAAATCAACTCCCACATAAATTAAGATGCTATCCAACATCCCTTGTCCTTAGCCTCAATCCCAATCAAAAATCCCGACAGCACAAACATTATTAGTCCTAACAATGTATAAATCTATATGCACACATATATTCACACAAAAATATATTTACACACATATATTTATATACACGGACAACATTGAGTTCAATCCAAATCTATAGTCCAAACAATGTACTAAACACATAAGAAACATAAATCCAATGTACCTCCAACAGAGACTTGAACCATCTTTTGAGAGTCACCATAGCTTTCCTTTGCCCTTTTTCTCTTTCTAATCTCTGTAGATTTTATCTGGAAACATAAATAAACTTCAAAATCACAAGTCGCTTATACTGGATCAATGTTTTTCTCTGAAATCTCTATTTTAGACTTAGTATCGAGAAGAGAAAAGTCTTAGATGCAAAAGATAACTCATTCATCACAAAGCAACAATACATTTGCAGTAACTGTTTAAATCAGAACATATGATTATCATGAACTGCAGCATTAGCATTCTAATTAGAAACTTGTAGCCATAAAATTGAACATTTCACTACCTTGTTTGATAGCATTAAACAATCTGATTATCAATCATTACCTTAGCAGATGCTTGAATTTCTCTGGCAGTTATATCCAAAGCAAGTGCATAACCTTACACCATCTGATTTTTGCTAATCAGATTTAAACTTAAAACCAAATCATTAACAGCATCATTATATTAAAATAAATCATTAGCAGCAGCATTATTAACTGATTAATTAAACTAAATCATTAACAGCAACACTATTAACTGATTAATTAACTGACCTTCAAAAAATAAAATAAAATAAAAAGTGATTAATTAACAAAAAACAGTAACAAAAATTACAAATTTACCCGCAATGTAATCCATGGCGGTGGATTGCGGAACATCGTGAGCTTTCTGAGAGATGATCACCGCCACCTCATGGTCCAAAGATAACAGAGGGTGAGGGACTTCGATCGTGCCGCCGTTCATCAAGTAAGACAACGTCGGTTTGAGGAAAAGCACGGGCCTTCACAAATCAGAATTAAGAGAGGAACTGGTTGCTTTGCATTCTTTGCAACCCACAGTTTTCCCTCATATCTGAAAGTTCCCAAGAAAGTTAAAAGAACAAAAGGAAATAATAACTGAAGATTCTTCATGTTTCACATAAAGCTCGTAATTAATTTTAGAAAACAACTTACTTGGCACGAATAAATTTCTCAGTCCCACTTCTGTCAAAATTTGGTGGCAATTCTTTTTCCCAATAACTGTTTCCCTTTTCATTACCCATGGCTGCCCAAAAGTACATAGAGTTAACTAACACTGTAGTCAGTTAAAAAAGATTAAAAACAGACAGAGCAAGAATGTGAACACTGAACTTATGTGTTCTAACAAATCAAAGCAACCTAATAACAAAACAGTGGCAAATCACAAACCTGGAAGGTCCTCTTGTACTCATCAACCAAGACTCTGAGCTGATTGAGCAGCTGCTGGACCATCTCTAGCCGATTCAAGAGCAAGCACACCATTAAAAATCTCAAAACAAACTGAAGCTGCTTGTTGGCCAAGGTCGGTCCTCAAACATGCCCTCCTTGAGTACTCTCTGCTCAGAATAACCTCGTGGAATTACCTCGTGTGCATAAGGAAGAAACTGCAACTCAATGAGACAGACCACTGTAAAGTAACTCATGGTTCACTCCAAATTATAGAAAACAAATGCTAATCAATACACAAAAATGAATAAAAGACATGAAATCATTGTATTTGAATAAAATCACTCACCTCTTGATCACTTCAATAAAAAATGGGGGCAATAACACGTATATTAGAGAAAGAAATAGAATAGGTTATAGAGAATATGTTGGAAAATATGCACTGGTTGTATACTGAAATGAATCATTACAACCCCTCTGGCTCTATAACATTGAAGACGAAATACCTGCATTAGTTTGGAAGCATGAAACTCCACGCAGAAAGTAGATTAACGTGGGTCAACTATAGCTTCATGGTCAGTCTAATTTCTAGTATTACAGGTATTAGATAATTGAAGTGCAATATAAGCCAATAATCATGTATCAGTAACATAGGAAAAATAGTAAAATGTGCTCGTGCTTCGCTGTGGGGATTGAATGTATTAGTCGGAACATGCATGGATAGTTTCTACACAAAGTAACTAAAATGACGGTACAGTACATAAGAACCAATGGATTGATACATTGCTTGCTATGCATGGATATGTATGCTATAAGAAACATTCATTTGCAGATCGTACAGTGTTATCAATATTACTCACAGTTTCAAGTAATCAGTCAGCCCACTCCATGCGGGAAAACACAGAAAAAGGAAAACAGAAAAGTAGAAGACACAATACTTGAGCATCTGGCAAGAAAAGCAAGCTTGTGAAAAAAATTGCTAAATCTTACAAATTCAATCACCAAATGTTATACTCTAATCCAAGACAAAGATAAGGCATATAGTTTGTTTACAAATCAAAACAGAGTTTGAATAGTCACTCTCTTCACGTGGCTGCAAGAACCAGTCATTAATTTGGAAACTATTCAATACACGTTAAAACATGACTTGGAAGCGAACTGATGAAAAAGATAGAAGGGAATATGTAACACAACTTAGTAATTGTATATGTTACGAAAGAGCAATACTTTTCTACCTATCTACATACCTCATGATCATTAAAAGCAAGAAAAAATTGGAAAAAAAAATTGCTTATAATCTGTTTGTTTGGTGAAAAACTGCAGAAAGAGAAACAAATGAAAGAAGGAATTTTTGAAAGGGAAGCTCACCACTGCTATCATAGGGCGTGAGCACAGACGGCTTCGGAGGCTGCAAACAAAAGCCCCAAAAAACGAAAAACCAAGGTCTCCTGAAACTGAAAACAAAACCAAATTAAACAACCACATGTAAAATCGCAGGCTACAAAGAAAACCCCCAACACAATCCCAAGTGGAAGGAAAGGGTAAATGGAAGAAGAATAGAGGTGACAGAGAGGGGGGAGATACAATCCCTCAACCCCATCCTCAATGCAGCCAACATACTCGTTCTCTCAACCCTACCTCCCTAGAAACCGGCCTTAAAAACCCATACCCATACCTCCCTAACCCAATAAATCTTCACAGACATATTGCAGAGAAAGGCAGATAAGGAACGCAAAAGCATGAAATAAACAAACATTCATAGAAGAAGTTTCAAATTTTACCTGCCGATCCAGCAACAGCTCGAATTCAAAGGTCAACCCCTTCTCTAAATCACGCAAACATCATTCATATAAGAAGTTTGAGATTTCTACTCTACATTATACAAATTTATTAAATTAGAATCAAACTAATAAAGGAACCAATAAGATATTACAGTGTTGCCTCATCAACCATTTTCTGAATGTAATAATTATATTGCCTTGCTTAAAAGAAATTATACCTACAGAGTGATGGCAAAGGCATTTGCTCAGCCAGATAAAACCCTGCAAAGACCAAAAATCCCTGAAAATCAATATATTATACTACATCTATATCAAACAGTAGTATAATTTTCGTTCACAGTGGGCCCAAAGGTACAAAAAATAAATATATCTGACCATCTGAGCCATGATTAAAAAAGAGAAGCGTTCATATGCAAAGAATTAAAAAAACCACAACAGTTGTTGTTTGCCCTTGCAAACTTAAGTATGCATGTGCAATTTGTGCAATAAATTAATATGTGAATTCCTATAAATTCACTTGTGAATGTAGCAAATTACATGCAACGTCTTATACACCTAACTGCAGAAAAATACAATGCAAGAAACCCTAATTTATTAGCAAAAATTATGAACAGTTAAAACCTAGGGTTATTCGAACAGTAACCTAGGAATTGAAAGACAGCTTACCTTTTGAATCGAAGGGAAGCAAAATTACCCACCCACCAGCCCATACCTCTCACCCCATTTCTCTGCACGCGGGTTCCCTTCAACCTTACCCCGACATTTCTCCCCATCTCTCTGTCCATGCAACGATTCCCCAAATCAAGGGTGAATCATGCACCACCCTAACCTCTCTACCCCAAATCATTCTCTCTCTACCTCAAACCCCTCCCTGAAACCCTAGACCCACTCCCTGTCACTCCTCTGCAAACCCACCTACTCTCCCAACCAAAGTGATCAAGTGCCATTGTCGAGAGAAGAGGAAAGAGGAGTGAAGAACAAAAACCAAATGCATAATGTATTTTAGAGGGATAGATAACTGAGCATTTGATTCACAGGCCAGCACAAAAACAAATAATAGAGCAATGAACTAAAAGGGGAAAATGCATACAGTTTGAATTCTGCAGAGAAGCTATAACACTGAAAGACCAGCACAACAGGAAGATAAATATACACACACAGATATACACATAAACACACACAGGCACAAATACAAAAAAAAGTTAAAACGGAGCTCAATTAAAAAATGAATTTTTTTTTTTGCAGAAAATCACAAATTGTAAATCACTCTATTCTGTTTACTGATTTTGTTCCAATTCAAATCACAGAAAGGAATTGAAAAGTTTAAAACAGGAATGTTAAATACCTTCACCTAAATACAATGCTTTTGCAAGCTGACCACCAGTAATCTGCACACAACACAAATCCGAGAAATATGAACTTCCGGATTAAGTGAAAAATCACATGGTCAATAAATTTAATAAGTTTATGGATTAGTATTATGAAAGAGGATGGAAATATTAAAAAACTAATAAAAGGGGTAAAATTCTATACATCGAATAACAGTCAACCCTAAACCCTGGTTTTGAAGATCAATATATTTGTTGTTTTTATCATGCAAAACGCATTGAAAGCCAAAGTTGTTGATCATGTTTACGATGACAAACACTTTACAACAACTTTAAAAGCATGCTTGTTCAAAGACATAAGCTATAATCAAACCAAACAGAAAAATTAAATCTATTTCTAACAATAGCAACCATAATTTCCTACCAAAAATAACATATCTCAATAGATTTGTTAGCAAACGATTCACAGTGCATCATATGTGAATCAACAAAAACCAGATGCATAATGTATTTTAGAGGGATAAAAAAAACTGAGCATTTGATTCACAGGGTCAGAACAACAACAAATAATAGGCTAATGAACAAAAATGGGCAAAATGCATACAGTTTGATTTCTGCAGAGAAACTATAACACTGAAAGACCAACACAACAAGAAGAAAAAGAGAAATGAAGAGGAAGTGGTATTATGAGACAATGAAGAAAGCAGCACAAAATATCTGTTTTTCTGTCCCAATTTAATAATTTAAAAAGAAATCTTGCACTCCCAACTAAAAATTGAAGAACCGAACCAGAACCAAATAGAAAACAAAGCAAGAAAAAAAAACAGGTTTCTAAGCAGGTTCAAACCAAAAATAGTGAAATATGGGAAAATTTGATTAAAAAATGACACTTAGCTTTGAAAGGAATTCAAGCTACCAGCTGGGAGAAATCCTCATCAATGCTTGCAGAGATAGCTTCCAGCTGGAACCAAATATCTGAAACCAACCATAGGTTTAGGCATCCCTTCCTGCCTCACCGTTTCTCTAAGCAGAGCTCACCGAGAAAAAACAAAACCCAAATTCCGGGCAGCCCTACCTATTGCTTTGCTCATCCTACCCTCCATCTCTCCTCCAATTTTTCCTTCTAGAGTCCTCCTCTCTCTTCTTTCTAGCATCACAAGACCCCTTCTCTCTTCTCTCTGCCATCGGACGACTCCTCCTCTCTCTCTTCTCTCTCGCATCATACGACACCTCACATCTCTCCTCACTGGCATCGTTGCAGGCTAGGCCTGCCTGTGTCGGTCATCCATCCCAAAAACCCAACTACATATAAAACGCACCAACCCAGTCACAGCCCAAATCCGCAAAAGCCCATACAACTAAAAAATTAAAAAAAAAAAACCCAAGAGAAATCCTTAGGGCAATGGCATGTCTGTAAATAAAGTGAAATTGGGGTAAAAAAACTATTCATTTGTACAGTGCAATTGAAAAGCCTTCTTTAGACTAAAGTAATGATGTAAGACTAATGTTGAGTTGTCAATTATTGTTATGAAACGAATTATGAAAATTGATTATTATGCTGCCGCAAATTGCGTTGGTGTTCAATGGTTTTCATGGTTAATAACATATATTTAATTAAAATGAGATAAATTATTATTTATTTATTTGGTAAAAATAAATAATTAATTTGAATCTTTCTTACATAAAATTAAATAATATGGCTATTGTAGTAAGGTTTTTTAGTAGTTCAGAATTATCAAACTAACATTTTTCTCCTCATTTGTGAAGGGTCACCTGCGGGCAAATAATATGTGAGATTAACGGGTTTATAACGTGTAACCCGATAACGACCCAATTATAATGTATTGACTTGAAACTCGTTATTTCATGTCGTTTTAGATCAAATTAACAGGCCATGTAAGAATTGTTAGGTCTAGACTCCAATTTGTACCCTTCTTTTCTTTAATGCATAATATGTCTTCTAGACTGCTCATACACCACACAAAACGCTTATTTCAATGAACTTTATCGGAGTTGTTTTATTTCGCAGGTTACTAAATGTCTCTCATGACTTTTTTTTGGGGATGAAGTTGAACCATCACTGCCTAGAATTAGTTTAGGGGATGTACCGTCATTTTTGTCTTTTAACTCTCGACTGACTTGTAAATTTTTCCACAACGACTTTGTCTACCATCTTTGTGGCGCCGGATGTAGAAGAATGAAGCTGTTTTCATAAATTTCAAAGGTTGAGCAAAATCTCGTCCAATTATATCTTTTACTGGAAACAAAAAACATCTTAAGACCTAAAAAGAAATAAGACCTATAGAATATTATTCCTAGTGAGATATATAATTGTATATGCAAATGGTGGATTGCCTTGATGGGTAGGCCATTTCTCTTTAATCAACAAAGAGCGGGCTCTCTTTTCTATGATACATAATTTATCTTCTAGATGACTACTCAATCATCGCATGTGTATTTCAGAGAATCTTATAGAAGTAGTTGTATTTCTCATGTTACCAAGTGCCTCTCAAATAACCATCCGCTATGTAAAGGAATCTAGGTGTATTCCAAAGAAGCTTATCGAAGTTTTTGTCTCATTTGTTATGGTTTGGATAAAGGTATGTTCTTCAATGAAACATTAGAAACAGAGTTATTGTTTGGGTTTCTTAGCCCACTCAAGTAGAACAAGTGTTGCTATCTGCATGCCTGATTGCAACCACATGACTTTTCTTTGGGGATTAAGTTTGAACCATCACTGCCTGGAATTTGTTTTGGGGATGGACCATCACTTTTGTCTTATTTCTCTTTGACTGATAAATTTTTCCATAAAGACTTTGTCAAACGTCTTTGTGGGATTGGATGTAGAAAAAGGAAGCTCTTCATAAGATTCCAAGGTTGCGCTAAAACTTCTCCTCCAATTATATGTTTCATTGAAAAAAAAAAAAAAAAAACAAGAGCTATAGAATATTATGTAAGACTAATGTTTAGTTGTCAATTATTGTTATGAATCGAATTATGAAAATTGATTATTATGCTTCCGCAATTTGCGTTGGTGTTCAATGGTTTTCATGGTTAATAACATATATAAAATTGTTTTTAATTAAAATGAGATAAATTTTTATTTATTTATTAGGTAAAAAGAAATCATTAATTTGAACCTTTCTTACATAAGATTAAATAATATGGCTATTGTAGTAAGGTTTTTTAGTGGTTTAAAATTATCAAACTAACATTTTTCTTCTCGGTTGTAAAGGGTCACCTGGGGGCAAATACTATGTGAGATTAACGGGTTTCTAATGTGTGACCTGATAACGATCCAATTAGTTAATGTATTGACCCGAAACTCGTTATTTCGTGTCGTTTTAGATCAAATTAACAGGCCATGTAAGAATTGTTAGGTCTAGACTCCAATTTGTACCCTTCTTTTCTTTAATACATAATATGTCTTCTAGACTACTCATACATCACACAAAACGCTTATTTCAATGAACTTTATCAGAGTTGTTTTATTTCGCAGGTTACTAAATGCCTCTCATGACTTTTTTTTTTTTTTGGATGAAGTTGAACAATCACTGCCTGGAATTAGTTTAGGGGTTGTTCCATCATTTTTGTCTTTTATCTCTTGACTGACTTGTAAATTTTTCCACAACAACTTTGTCTACCATCTTTGTGGCGCCAAATGTAGAAGAATGAAGCTGTTTTCATAAATTTCAAAGGTTGAGCAAAATCTCCTCCAATTATGTTTTTTACTGGAAACAAAAAACATCTTAAGACATAAAAAGAAATAAGACCTATAGAATATTATTCCTAGTGAGATATATAATTATATATGCAAGTGGTGGATTGCCTTGATGGGTAGGGCCTTTCTCTTTGATCAACAAAGGGTATGCTCTCTTTTTTTTGATACATAATTTATCTTTTGGATGACTACTCATTCATCGCACGTGTATTTCAGAGAACCTTATCGAAGTTGTTGTATTTCTCAGGTTATGAAGCGCCTCTCGAATTACCATCCTCTATGTAAAGGAATCTTGGTGTATTCCAGAGAAGCTTATCGAAGTTTTTGTCTCATTTGTTATGGTTTGGATCAAGGTATGTTCTTCAATGAAATATTAAAACAGAGTTCTTGTTTGGGTTTCTTAGCCCACTCAAGTAGAACAAGTGTTGTGTCACGCCCCGGACCCAGGGTCGGTAGTAAAAACTTGAACCCGAATCCGAAACGTGAACTAAAAACTATAAATAAATAAAAGGAAATTGACACGGGTTGGAAAATAAACTCTTCTTATTTAAAATAACTAATAATTCTTTACAAGGCTAAAATAAAGAAATACAAAATTCTATCCTCACACTTAATCCGATCTCATCCCGTCTACCCTCTTAGATTGTTTAGTTCGTGAACCTGCATAACAATAGAGGGGTGAGCTTTAACAGCTCAGTAGGGACATAACCTTATTACAGTAAATTGACAATATTAAATTAAGTGTCATGAAATCATATAGCCAAATATCAAATCATTATTGATAATAATGCATGAATGCAATTGAACCTCTTCCGCTACCCCCGTTACTTTATATAATAAAACACGCGGACCTGCATGTCCCATACCATGCATTTTACCCCTGCAGAGGTGGTTCGAATGTTCTATTATACAAATTAACCCCCCCGTAACTCAATCATCCCAATTTCCCCTTTTGTTAGTCATCTTGCCAAAACTCTTCGTCGCCAGTCCCGAATTACCCTTAAAGAATCTGTGCACTGTGGGCTCACTTGAGACCTGGTACCTGCTAAGAGTTTGACTCAACTACACAAAAGATCATTTCCATTACCCTCTTTCCAAATTCCTTTCTCACCTACAAAGTTCCAACCACTTATGACACATGAGTGATGCACAAGCAACGTTATTACATCTTTCACATGTCACAATATATCTCCATGTCACAGTATATATCTCAACGAATAACATTCCAGTAGTACTAACAAGTAAACAACCAACTGAAGCAATAATCCAAACAATGTCCAACCACATTAATCAACCAACACAAATATAGTACTTCACAAAATTTAATAGAATCAATATCTATAAAGGTCTGCCGTATTTCCTCTACCTGGACTCCAAAGCATTGCACCAACTCTCTATTACAAGAGTGCACCACTATTGTGATCAATTCCTATTTCACAAGTACAAGCAAATCACTAAAATGCATAACAAATGTAACCCTAGTTAGACTACTTGGTATTACTAATCTAACACCACTTGATTCAAAAGTCATTTTGGTCGATATGAAATAACGCAACTACAATAGAAGACGTTTGAATGTAAAAGGATTTAGGAAATAAGCAATATATATATATATAGCTCACTGTATAATACAAGTTCCTCAAACACTTTGGCTTATATAATTGCATAAAAGCTTTGTCATATTATACATATATACATATATATTTTCCTGATATGTATCAGTATGAACTATTTTACAAAATAATACTCCAACCGAGTTGGAATTGTAAAAGTCGTTTTATAAGGGTATTACAAATAGACCAACACTTTAAATCAAAACAGGCTTTGCATTATCCAGTACTATATAGTGAACAAACTAATCATACCATACTTGAAACCAAAAGGCTGTAGTTGTAAAAATAGGTATACGTTATATAGAATAGTTTTGCATCAAATAGGCAGCATTATATAAAACCCTTGCATATAAAACTTGTTTTGCAGTTTCTGCCTAAAAGCAACCGTGAAAGACAACGATTTACTACATAAAATAGCTAAGCAAAGAACAAAGAGAGCTGTGAATCATTACCCTGCTGCAGGCTGACATCCCAAGCAGGAAGATAAATATGAATAATTCAGCACCCTTCTCTCTGATTCTATTTGATTTCTTAATCCCTTCCTTCTATTTGTCTTCTCGTCTCTCCTCTCTTTCTCTCTCAACATATATATATACAAACACAACCACATGAGCTGCAAAGCATGCATTGCATGCTAGCTTGTGTTCGAAAACAATGGAGTTGATCTCCTATTTATAGGTTACTAAACGGAAACTACAAAGCCCCTTATTGGTTGAAGTTGGCGGCTAACCACAGCTGTTAAGCTAGCTGTAGGCACTGAGGAGAAAGAAGATAGCAACTAATTCAGGTGAGTACACGTGGTCTTAAGTCATAGACCGCAAGAAGAGATGGCAATCTCATTCAAAATATTTGTGTTGGCTTCTAAGTGGCCAGGTGGGTCAGTCAAAACAAACTAATTATATATACATACATATAAATGCATACGTACATGTACATATAAATACATATGTATATGTACATATGTATACACATTAAATACGGGATCTTACATGTTGCTATCTGCATGCCTGATTGAAACCACATGACTTTTCTTTGGGGATCAAGTTTGAACCATCACTGCCAAAAATTTGTTTTGGGGATGGACCATCACTTTTGTCTTATTTCTGTTTGAGTGATTGATAAATTTTTCCGTAACGACTTTGTCAAACGTCTTTGTGGGGTTGGATGTAGAAAAAGGAACCTCTTCATAAGATTCCAAGGCTGAGCTAAAATTTCTCCTCCAATTATATGTTTCGTTGGAAAAAAAAAATCAAGAGCTATAGAATATTATGTAAGACTAATGCTGAGTTGTCAATTATTGTTATGAATTGAAATATGAAAATTGATTATTATTCTTCCGCAATTTGCATTGGTGTTCAATGGTTTTCATGGTTAATAACATATATAAAAATGTTTTTAATTAAAATGAGATAAATTATTATTTATTTATTAGGTAAAAATAAATCATTAATTTGAACCTTTCTTACGTAAGATTAAATAATATGGCTATTGTACAAGGTTTTTTAGTTGTTTAAAATTATCAAACTAACATTTTTCTTCTCGGTTGTAAAGGGTCACCTGTGAGCAAATACTATGTGAGATTAACGGGTTTTTAACGTGTGACCCGATAACGACCCGATTAGTTAATATATTGACCAAAAACTCGTTATTTCGTGTCGTTTTAGATCAAATTAACAGGCCATGTAAGAATTGTTAGATCTAGACTCCAATTTGGACCCTTTTTTCTTTAATACATAATATGTCTTCTAGACTGCTCATACATCACACAAAACGCTTATTTCAATGAACTTTATCAAAGTTGTTTTATTTCGCAGGTTACTAAATGCCTCTCATGACTTTTTTTTTTGGGATGAAGTTGAACCATCACTGCCTAGAATTAGTTTAGGGGTTGTTCCATCATTTTTGTCTTTTATCTCTCGACTGACTTGTAAATTTTTCCACAACAACTTTGTCTACTGTCCTTGTGGCGCCGGATGTAGAAGAATGAAGCTGTTTTCATAAATTTCAAAGGTTGAGCAAATTCTCCCCCAATTGTGTTTTTTACTGGAAACAAAAAACATCTTAAGACATAAAAAGAAATAATACCTATAGAATATTATTCCTAGTGAGATATATAATTATATATGCAAGTGGTGGATTGCCTTGATGGGTAGGGCATTTCTCTTTGATCAACAAAGGGTAGGCTCTCTTTTCTATGATACATAATTTATCTTCTGGATGACTACTCACACGTGTATTTCAGAGAACCTTATTGAAGTTGTTGTATTTCTCAGGTTATGAAGCGCCTCTCGAATTACCATCCGCTATGTAAGGGAATCTTGGTGTATTCCAGAGAAGCTTATCGAAGTTTTTGTCTCATTTGTTATGGTTTGGATCAAGGTATGTTCTTCAATGAAATATTAAAACAGAGTTCTTGTTTGGGTTTCTTAGCCCACTCAAGTAGAACAAGTGTTGCTATCTGCATGCCTGATTGCAACCACATGACTTTTCTTTGGGGATCAAGTTTGAACCATCACTGCCAAAAATTTGTTTTGGGGATGGACCATCACTTTTGTCTTATTTCTGTTTGAGTGATTGATAAATTTTTCCATAACGACTTTGTCAAACGTCTTTGTGGGATTGGATGTAGAAAATGGAACCTCTTCATAAGATTCCAAGGCTGAGCTAAAATTTCTCCTCCAATTATATGTTTCGTTGGAAAAAAAAAATCAAGAGCTATAGAATATTATGTAAGACTAATGCTGAGTTGTCAATTATTGTTATGAATTGAATTATGAAAATTGATTATTATTCTTCCGCAATTTGCGTTGGTGTTCAATGGTTATCATGGTTAATAACATATATAAACATGTTTTTAATTAAAATGAGATAAATTATTATTTATTTATTAGGTAAAAATAAATCATTAATTTGAACCTTTCTTACGTAAGATTAAAAAATATGGCTATTGTAGTAAGGTTTTTTAGTTGTTTAAAATTATCAAACTAACATTTTTCTTCTCGGTTGTAAAGGGTCACCTGTGAGCAAATACTATGTGAGATTAACGGGTTTTTAACGTGTGACCCAATAACGACCCGATTAGTTAATATATTGACCCAAAACTCGTTATTTCGTGTCGTTTTAGATCAAATTAACAGGCCATGTAAGAATTGTTAGATCTAGACTCCAATTTGGACCCTTCTTTTCTTTAATACATAATATGTCTTCTAGACTGCTCATACATCACACAAAACACTTATTTCAATGAACTTTATCGGAGTTGTTTTATTTCGCAGGTTACTAAATGTCTCTCATGATTTTTTTTTTTGGATGAAGTTGAACAATCACTGCCTGGAATTAGTTTAGGGGTTGTTCCATCATTTTTGTCTTTTATCTCTCGACTGACTTGTAAATTTTTCCACAACAACTTTGTCTACTGTCTTTGTGGCGCCAGATGTAGAAGAATGAAGCTGTTTTCATAAATTTCAAAGGTTGAGCAAATTCTCCTCCAATTGTGTTTTTTACTGGAAACAAAAAACATCTTAAGACATAAAAAGAAATAAGACCTATAGAATATTATTCCTAGTGAGATATATAATTATATATGCAAGTGGTGGATTGCCTTGATGGGTAGGGCATTTGTCTTTGATCAACAAAGGGTAGGCTCTCTTTTCTTTGATACATAATTTATCCTTTGGATGACTACTCATTCATTGCACGTGTATTTCAGAGAACCTTATCGAAGTTGTTGTATTTCTCAAGTTATGAAGTGCCTCTCGAATTACCATCCGCTATGTAAAGGAATCTTGGTGTATTCCAAAGAAGCTTATCGAGTTTTTGTCTCATTTGTTATGGTTTGGATCAAGATATGTTCTTCAATGAAATATTAGAAACAGAGTTATTGTTTGGGTTTCTTAGCCCACTCAAGTAGAACAAGTGTTGCTATCTGCATGCCTGATCGCAACCACATGACTCTTCTTTGGGGATCAAGTTTGAACCATCGCTGCCCGGAATTTATTTTAGGGATGGACCATCACTTTTGTCTTATTTCTGTTTAACTGACTGATAAATTTTTCCATAACAACTTTGTCAAACGTCTTTATGGGGTTGGATGTAGAAAAAGGAAGCTCTTCATAAGATTCCAAGGCTGAGCTAAAACTTCTCCTCCAATTATATGTTTCATTGGAAAAAAAAAAAAACCATCTGATGAAAAAAAAAAAAAAAAAAGAGCTATAGAATATTATGTAAGACTAATGTTGAGTTATCAATTATTGTTATGAATCAAATTATGAAAATTGATTATTATGCTTCCCCAATTTGCTTTGGTGTTCAATGGTTTTCATGGTTCATAACATATGTAAAATTGTTTTTAATTAAAATGAGATAAAAATTCTTATTTATTTATTTGGTAAAAATAAATCATTAATTTGGGTTGTCATTTAATATAATTGTTGAGCTCTACTTTATAACCCATCGATTGAAGTTCGAAATTTTCCGTTAAGTCGGGTTGGTTTTGGCCTTCTCGGCACTTTCCGGCGAGTATGACTTGCTGTCAAGAGTTTGGGTAAGATTTAATTTAAATTGTGACAAATGATGAACTCGTATGTTGTGTGAAGAAAAGTCACCATCGTACGTACCCATTAATGTCTTCTTTTGTTGGTGAAACAATTCTCCCTGTGAGTGTTTGTAACTCTTGTCGGTGTAAAATGCCTTTAAACACCTTAAGGAGTTATCAAGCTCTTTTAAGTGAATTATTCGTTATATCAAGCATGCTACTGTTGGTTAACACCAGCTGAAAGTTGAATAATATTGTTATTGAAGTGTAAGTTTGCATCACAAGTAAACTGAGATTCTGATCAAAAGATCGTGCCATAGATGGGGTTATGATCCATGTTAAGTTCTTTTATATGCTTTGTTTTACAAAGGACTTCAAATATTTTCTTTATGTATGACAAACGGTAACCACAAACTGATTGGCTCTTAGTTCAACTCAGTTTGCAATTCTCACATGGATTTGTTTATAGAAATGTATGAAACACTATACGAAAATGAAAGAACAGAAAGGAAATGATGTTAAATACTTAAAAAAATCCAACTACAAAGTAATAACTTGAAAGAAATGCAAAATACAAGAGATCAGGCAAGTTTAAACCCGTTCGGGCAAACTTGCTTGCTAGTTGGGCAACTTCGTGCAGGTCGTTGAAGTGATTTGAAAAGAATTTTTCTTATAGGGAATCGATCTTACATACAATGCAGCTGAGCGTTAAACATAAATACAAGTACGAAGATGCTAGATTACGAAAGGAATTTGAAAGAAAGTAGGCTGCACAGCTTCAAAGTTTTTTTGAGTTGTGAGTTGAGTGCCTTTTTCTTCTTCTTTTATGTTGCTTTATATAGAATAGACATTTCTTCCAGTTTAAACCTTTTACTCTCAAGATAATTCTGTCTGCTGGAAACAAATAAGTCCTTCGATCTCGGGATGGTTTGTCAGTCAATATATATTTCAATTCTCTTCTGGAAAATGATTTTTAAAACTAATTAAGTAGAGAAATTATTGCTGATGTGCTTGACGTTTCTTTGGGGATGAAGTTGAACTCTCACTGCCTGTAATTGTTTTGACTTATATCTCTTGAAAGTGACAAATATTTACATAATGACTTTGTCTACCGTATTTGTAGGTTAGGATGTAGAAAAATGATTGCAATTTGTTGGCAGATTCAACCAGTTATGCTATTTTTGATTGGACCTGTATTCTTTACTAATGTGTGTATATATAGCACTCTAAATTACTCGTTCTTCACATCCATCACCCACTTATCTATATGGCGAGAGTCATGAGAGTTGTTTCACCAATCAGCTTTCTTCTATGCATTGCGTCTATTACTGTTAGCTTATGCAATGGAAACTTGAATGTACCTTGCAAAGAAAA